CGCAAATTTCGACGAGGATGTTTTAAAAGAAAAAAAGCGAATTGTAGAGATCTTGAAAAGCAACGAAATTATGAAGGATAAGAAGATTGGCATACATAAAAACATCATTCGCTATTTTCTACTGATTCACGGAGACGAGAAATTGTTTGAGGAGTATTGTTTCCTCAGCGAAGATGTCGAAGGGTATATCGAACGTCAAGTTGTTCTTCGTCAATACACAAATGTTTATAATACCCTTTCTGCGTTGTTAGAAGGAAGAAGTGAATTTTTTCAAGAGAAAGGAGACAAGAGCGTTCAATGTAGAATTGGACAGAAAATGCTTGAGAAGTTTTTTAATGTGTTGTTCTGTGGTGACCGCAGTGGTGTTCTCTCGTTTCTTCAAGATGTGGAATTTGCACTCTTCCCATCACTCTTTACAGCACTTTCTACAATTGAGAACGAAGATAGTATGACATTTAGCTTGAATTTGTTGACTAAAATCGAAGAACGTGGAGGGTTTGACGAGAAGCTGTGTTTGTATGTCTTCTGGGAATTATTGCGGAAGAGTGACGATAAGACCCTCCTTCAATTTTTACAGAAGAATGAGATGCATATGGAGGGCGTTGTTTCTTTACCACCAAAAGGCGTGTTTGTGAATCACAAACGAAGCTATTTGTATATCATGACTCAGAAAGCAATGACCGAGGAAATGATACAAACAGGAATTGAGTTGATTTTGGAAGAAGGGAGTGCCAAAGACGCTGAAAATTGTTTGCTTTGGTGCAACACATTAGATCAAACCATAAAAGACCAAATCAACGGTTTAACACTGAAAGATGTTTACACTCAAATTGTGATGAAAAGTGCAATTCAGGTATTGCCACAAAACATCATAATTGATCTAGTAAAGAACTTTAAAATACCGATTTCGTTGGTGATTGATATCCTCCCAGAGACTTGGGAGAGCACAAATATTGTTGAAATGCTTACGGAAGCAATTGTTGTACATGGGAAAGAGGTGAGTAAGATGATGGGAGAGATCGAGAAGACAATTGAAATATCACAGTCGTCATATGAGTTTTCAAAAGAGATGTTTTTGGTAGGCGAGTACTGCGACTTGTGTAAGAAACGAGTCATAGAGTCTGACTGTGTGGTGTTTGGATGTGGTCATACCTTCCATGTCATTTGTATAAAGAATGAAGTTTGTTTTTCTTTTATTAGTGTAGTTCCAAATGACTTCTAGTTTATCAAAAACAAGACGCAATATGCACAGGTGCATAAAGATAGTGTTGATGATGAATGTCCGTTATGTGGGATTCATCAGATAGACCTGATCAGTCTTCCATATGATAAAGATGCACGAGACTGGGAATTATAATTGTGATACTTGTCTGGCCCAAACTGTTCTCTTGTCTTTCACAATCTATAAACTAGTTTTATTCATTTATTTATTAATAATTTCTTATTATGAATTGCTTTGATGTTCTTCACTCAACAATTATTTGAAACACTGACATACACTACCTGTTACATATTAAAAGTATAATATGTTAACTATTTTTATTACAACCAGTTGAAACTAACAATTGTATTATAAATTAACTATATAAAATACCATTTTGGTGTGGAATAGAAAGTATTGCCGATTCTATTATTCAGTTTGAATTACAAACTGTAAAATAGAACTCACAATTCTAATATGTCTCGAAAATTGCTTCGCTCCTCTGTCGCCGTCAAAAGTACAGTATCAGAAAGTGTAGTACACGTGGTTTTTAAGAAAGACGACCATGTATATATCTACACATTTCCCGCTACAAGCACTGCTTTTGGCATCAAAAATGCAATCAAATCTGAAATGAAATTAGAAGGAACGTATTCGATTGTTATCCCGAGTATTCCATTTAAAGTGGTAGATGCAATGGAAGACACAGTAATCAAAGAAATGGGGTTCTATGACACTTGTGTTAAATTTGGGTTGTTTCCAACATTTGAAATGGTCAATAGAGAAATCGCTGAATCGTATGAGAGTGTAGCGGGACTGTCCAAGTTGATGACCAAATTGTCTGCTAACTACCAAACGATAGGTCAGAACTATGTTGACGTCTTACGAACGGACGTTGAAGAGATTTTTGTGTTCCGACGATCACTCGCACGCGTCCGACTTATTTCGAATTCATTAGAAGAGAAGTATGACAGAAAGATACATGAGGAGAATGAATATGCATACACTTTATCGGAACCCAACCTCCCGACATCTGTAAATAAGCTTGATATACGTGTTGTTGGTACCGATTTAAATTTGACTGCTGTATTTAAAGTGACGCCCGACGTTAAAGTACAAAAGTTTATTAACGCGATTTATGTTGAATTTATGAAGAAGAGTCCGATGAAGATGAGTGGGTACAACACCACGAGTTTTGTGTTAAAAGTGATGGGGTATGATGAGTACATAATACCAAAGAAGGTGGATGGGAAAGAGTGGTTGCTGTCTGATTTTGATTATATCCGAAGACAAGGGATACGGGGTGAGTCTTTACAACTTGAGTTGGTGCCACGAGACAATTTACTGAAGTGTATGATCAGTGAAGAAGACGTGAAAACGATGAAGTACTTGGACACGTTTTTTGCAAGTGAGTATTGGGAAGCATTTGACGAAGAGAAGAGATGTTCGCAGAGGCAGTGCACAGACCAGTTTTCGATGGTTATAACGTCTGTTGAGAATTTGGTCTATTTATCGAAAAAGAAGGGGAACAAGTCGAAGAAAGAAAAAAAGGAAAAAGAGGAAGAGGAAAGTACTTTAATTGTCAAAGATGAAAATCAAGAGGACGAAGAGGTTGAGCGAGTCACTGATTTTCTCGGGTATATCTCCGCAGAATTGTTCTATGGAGAAATTTCATTATGTCCGGCGATCTATTCACCCGTCTTTGAAATTAAAAATGGATTGGCGAACCCAAAATGGAAGGCAACTTTTGTCCAACTGTTAGCCACTTTGCCTGCAGAAAGTAAAGTGATATATTCGGTCTACAAAACTGATAAAGTAGTGAACACTGTCGTGACTGAAGTGTCGGAAGAGGATAAATGTGTAGGCACTGTGAATACCCGTGTTGTGAATTACTTGAACGACTTGATCAGTGGCGCACAACAATACACTTTATGGCAGAGTGAACCAAACCCCATTGCGATGTGTTGCAACGCCGTCTCGTCACAAGAAAAGTTGTGTGTTGAATACCCGATATTAACTAATCCGGTGCGGATGGACACTTTTATCACTAAGAAGAAGGAGATGGAGACTAATATGTGTTCACAGAACCAACAACCAATGGGGGTCGATGAAGTCAACGCGTTCAATAAAATAGTCCACGCGGATGCTCTTGCTGTGTTCACTAAAGAAGAGTTAAAGTGTCTTTGGGAGCAACGGTACACCATTTTAAAGAGTAAGCCACAGGCTCTTGCAAGACTTCTTAATTCAGTGAATTACACACAACCATCAGAAGTCCATGAAATGCACAGATTACTTGCTCGATGGCCTTTGTTACAGCCAGAAGAAGCTATCGAGTTGTTGGATTTTAGGTATCCGGATCCACAGATCAGAGCATTTGCACTGAGGTGTATTGATACAATGACAGACGACCAGTTAGTCATGTATCTTCCTCAACTAGTTCAAGCACTGAAATTTGAATTACACCACCACTCTGCATTGGCCTCATTTTTGCTCAGAAGATCACTCAAAAATAGAAGGCGGATAGGGCACAACTTCTTTTGGTTCTTGAAAGCGGAAATTCACGATGCTCGGGTGACTGCAAGATATGGTGTGTTATTGGAGGCGTTCTTAGTGGGGTGTGGCAATTATAAAGTCGAGTTAGAGAAAGAAGTTGTATTCCAAAGTCAGTTAGTAGTGATCGCAAACGAAGTGAAAGACGTTGCGAACAAAGATGAACAGACTGAGCTCTTAAAAAGCAGTTTGGGTAAGTTGAAATATCCCGACGAAATGTCACTTCCCTTAGACTCGCGATTTCGAATTAAAAAAACAGTACCAAACACAGGAAAAGTCTTTTCATCAAAGAAGAAGCCTCTTATGTTAGTTCTACAAAACGCAGACCCACTTGGCGAGGCGATTGTTGTGATTCAGAAAGTCGGAGACGATCTCCGGCAAGACATCTTGACGCTACAAATGATTCGATTGATGAATGGCATATGGAAGAACAACGGATTAGATTTGTGTATGTTGCCGTACCTCTGCATAGCGACTGGGAATGAGATTGGCATGTTGGAGTTAGTCAAAAATTCGGAGACCTATGGGAAGATCATGGCTATGGATGAAAAGAAACTGAGCGTCTTCAGGGAAACAGCAATGACCACTTGGCTGAAAGACCAATGCAGTTCACCAGACTCAAAAGTCCAATTTGAACTTGCAGTGGAGAATTTCACATACTCATGTGCTGGGTATTGTGTTGCCACATACATCTTAGGTATTGGAGATCGGCACAGTGATAATGTGATGTTGACAAAAGAGGGCAAATTCTTTCATATTGACTTTGGCCACTTCCTTGGGAACTTTAAAAAGAAGTTTGGGGTGAAGAGAGAGCGAACACCATTCAAATTTACACCACACTTTGCTAATGTGATGGGTGGGAAAGGATCACCACAATTCAAGAAGTTCGAGAAGGTGTGCATCGACGCATTTATCACTATTAGACAACATGGACCACTGTTTATATATCTGTTCAGATTGATGTTGGCCACTGGAATCCCAGAGTTACAAAAGGTGAACGACATTGAGTACATGAGAAACATGTTTATGTTCGATAAGAACGACCAAGAGGCTGGCGAAGAGTTCAGAAAGTTGATTTATAAATGTCTAGACGCGTGGTCACAGACATTCAACGATGCAGTTCACGACTTTGTTCATTACAAGAAACTTCCCATGTTCAAATAAGTAAAGGGAAGAACAGTATAAGTCAATTTTGAATATTTGGAGTCAATTTATTATAATTATAATAATTTATTATTATATTTATAATAATGTATATACCAAAACAATTGAATACTTGTATATAGTAAATTATAGTATAAAATATTATTAAATTAACCATCTATTTATAGAATAGATGCTTGGCAGAATAAAGAATAAAAGTGTTCAATGAGTCTCGTTTTAAAGAGTGTGAGTTCGTTTACAATGAGCGCAAGTGCACTCTCCGTTGCATATAGGACATCCAACAACACCAGCAAATTTCTTAGAACACCGACCACAGAGTCTATGAAACTTCGAAGTAGTACATTGAAAGATCACTTCTTTTCGTGTTTTGCAACAATGACAACTCCCCAACTCTCTCTTTGGACTCGCCACTTCAGCTGTGGGTACTTTTACTGATTCCATCAAACAGATAAGTCGACCTTCTTCGACTATTTGTTTCACTGTCAAATTGTTTGCTTCTTGTAATTTTGCTTCGTTAAGAGTCATTCCATTCCTCCGCATTTCGGCTGAGACAGCTAAGACTAAGTCTGCAGCAGTAGCAGAAACAGGAAGAACAACTTCAATATAGGAAAGTTGCATTGTTTTTCACGATCTCGCTCGTATCCGTACTATCACTACTTTTATATTACAATTTTGGTAACCACGTGGAGTCTTTCAATTCGGTTTTGGTGTCATTAATAAATTGCCAGATTATTCAAATGTGCAATAACATATTGTTAAACTAATTGATTGGGTAATATAAGACCTTCGGCTTCTAAAGCAGATACTCACACTTGCCAAAAGGTCTTTGAAAAAAGTTATAATCCAAAAATACTTAAATAATTATATGTATAGTTAATTCAATAGTTAAATTTAATTATTTTTCTAGTTGGTTCATTTTAGTTTGTAAAAAGAATGGGTGGCGTTTTGAATTTGGTGTGAACGAATCGCTTTTTTGGAATTAATTGATTTTTTTAATGAGAGAAATTATTCATTTTAAAAATTTTGGTGTTAAAACGTTATTACAAGCAATTTTCAAAATAAAATTATTAAACACATATTATTTTTTAAATCTCCGAATAAAACTCATTTTATTTTTAGTTGTTTTATTATTAAATGTATTATATATTATGGTACTGCTTTAAAGAGTGTATTTTAATGTTTTGGTATTGATTGAGATTAATAAAGTGTTTTAGTATAATTTAGTTACTATTTTGAATTGCTGTTTGATTTTCAATAATAAATGCAAAAACAAGTGTATTATTTTTAATAATAAATAATAACATTTATTATTTTGATATAATTTTTAATTTCATTTTGTCATACTGAGAATTAAAAAATAAATAAAATAAATTATTTTTTAGATTTAGACTTTGTTATCAAGTCTATTCAAAACTTCAAATTGGTTTTTATTTCATTTGATAAACTATAATAATAATAAACCCCATTTAATTATATTAATAATTAAAATTGTTATATTTTATTAATAATACTATTTCAACAAAATGAATCCCATAATATCTCCATTATACTATAAAGTCATTATTGCTCTAAAGTCAAGTTCTAATGCAAAAACTGAAAATTGATCTCTAAACCTCAAAAAATGGACACAACAACAACACGTCATACAGCTGGAGACGGAAGATGGTTTCAATCATCGACCAATGGACTTAAGAACGAAGTGAATGGATACATCCAAGATGCTTACAAAGCACTTCCAAAGCTTGAAGGTAAAGTATTAGGCAGTGTAGCGCCACATGCTGGGTTTCGATATAGTGGGCCCACTGCTGGGTTTTCTGTTGCTGCTTTATTAAAAGACTCTGAAACGAATGGGAAGCCCGATGTTGTATTTATATTGGGATTCAGTCACTCCGCTCATTTTGAATATGCAGCAATTATGGATGGCGCCGCAATCAAATCGCCCATTTGCACGTCCAAAATTGACACGGACGCAATCAATATATTCATGAAAGACAGACCAAACATGAAACTGAAATACAACCCTCACAACGGTGAACACTCGGCGGAGAATGAAATTCCATTTGTCCAAGTGGCATTCCCAGAGACCAAGGTGGTTATGGTTCTCATTGGAACACACAAGGCACAAGTCTTTAAAGAAGTTTCGGACGGTCTTTTGGAGGTAAGCAAAACACGTAAGATGTATGTCGTTGCTAGCAGTGATATGCTACACGACGAAGACTTCAATTTAGTGGAAAAAACTGACAGGGTGACTGCGGATTTGACTGAAAATGTCGACTTTGACGGATTACTTAAAAACTGGTCATACGAGAATCAAATTTTCTGTGGGATTACAGCAGTCGTACCTTTAATGATGTACTGCAAAGCTGTTGGGTGTAAAAAGGCTATCACCGCAGACTTGACTAACAGCGAGAAAGTCACTGGGAAAAGAAACTCTGGGTGGGTAGTTGGTTATGGTGCGTTTATTTTTGTTCTCTAATTTATATATCAGAGTCTTATTCAATGTTGTGTATATCAATTGTATTATTTTTTTACATTTCTATATTATTAATATAGTATTTAATCAAAATTGGTGACATGGTTGGCTCAATTAAAAATTACTACTATATATCTTAATTGCTTTTATTATTAATTATAGTTGGGATTTTTAAGTTGATCGACGATGTTAAATGTCTTGGCAGTTATTAACATTTTTTTGTAAAATATAGAATATAAAATTTGGTCTGTCACTTTTTAGTGTGTTATTATGTTCTATTTTTAATACTAATCAATGTACTAAAATGTATAATAAACTAAATTATTAAATATAATATTATAAATATATGAACTACACAACAATTGAAACAGTACACGTGTTTATTATTTTTTTGATAATTATTATCAAAAACGCTCGACTTTTGAAACATAATACAAATGAAAAACAAAATCAACTATATTTATTTATTATTTGTAGTTATAAATATGAAAGGTACAAATTTATGTTTATAATTTTATTAATAAAATTTTTTAAATGTAAAACACCAATTCGACACTTTTGCCAATTATTATTAGTATTTATATTAGTAGTGTTATTATTACAGAGTCTTTGAGATGGAAATAATAATAATTATTATAACTACAATCCATAATGTAGACGTGTCATCAATTGTTTGGTAATAGCATGTTCTTTCATTTTGAGGACAAATTCAACTACAAAATAATAGAATTCACATTCCGTAACATGTGAAGAGTTAAAAATAAAAAGTATTGCAAAAGAAAACACCTTGTTTTTTCTAAAAATACCAAATTTCCAGATTCTTCGATAGAACTACAAAAATAATTAGTACAATACAAATGGAAGACAATTCGAATACACTCACAGACGAAGAGTGCGCTGATTTGAACCAACCATCATCTCCTCAACAAGAGAAACATTCACAAACACAACCGGAATATACCGAGGGCAAAGAACAAAATAAAGACCATATACTAGACTCAGTTTCAGCAATTCCCCCATCATCACAAATTCCAGAAAAGCCTGACGAACACAAAGAAAACCCTCCTCTCTCCGATTTAGTACCAAAAGACAATGGACTTCAAAATCAACACCAAACGGCGCAAGAAACAAATCAATCACAAAAAACACTCGGGCCACAACCTATGGAGTGTGTTCCTTTACCTTCACTTGACAAAGCACAACAACCACAAGACCACCAACAACCGACTTCTCAACCCCCGGTGAACGCTACACCAGCAAAAGTACCACCAAAACCTAAAAAGGAGAAAAAGGTCAAACCCGAGAAGAAAGAAAAGAAAGAGAAGAAGAGAAAGAGTGACATCGACGCAAAGTTATCTGAAACCATTCATTCAAAAGAATTACCAATCCCAACGTCCTTCCCTAAACGACAACACTTCGACTCAATTAATCGCCCTCCTGAACCTCCCGCAGTTAGCTTTCAAACATCTCCCAAGTCAAGTTATCAACAAATATATGACGTGTTAACCAAAGACAAAAAGATGCGTTCGGAAGTCCAAGCACCTCGCGAGAGGAACGACCGACCAGAGAGAACTAATGACCGCGTTGAGAGAAAAGAGCGTCCTTTAAATCCCGAGAGAGTCGACAAACCAATCGAAAGACCGATCGACCGTCCTGAAAGGGTAGATAAGTATGAACGATCGGAGAGATCAGAAATACTCGACCGAAGAAGTCAACGGGCGATCGACTCGGACAGACAGCGCGACTACGCGATGTATTACCAAATGCAACAACAACAATTCCAGCCCGTGAACAATCCATATCCTCCGTTACCACCTAAAGACGTTTATTATAGAGCAGAGCACCAACCGCCACAACAACCAATGGGGTTTCAGCAAGTCAATGTGTTCGATATGTATGAGAAGTTATTCATTCAATATGGCGCGCGTGTTGACCTATGGCCACAAGAGGCTTTGGCACACCAACCAAGGCAAACGATACAGAAGGACATCGCCATGTCGATGAAACAGGCCGACAAGACGAGAAAGTGCTCACCACGAGTCCGACATGGGATATGCGCGATGGCGGCAATTAGGTATTTCATCGAGATGATACGCGCGGGAAAGGGGGAGTTGCCATTTTGTTTGGAAATGATGTACAAAGACGGGTGGGAAAGGAGTTGCGATGTTTGTTTACTCAATGAAATGGACTCAAAAGGGTTGGAACTCTATAAGGAATATCTCAAAAACGACTGCATTAATTATATCCTCACTATCGTTATGAAACTCAGCCCAGAGCAGCAGCTGTTCTTCATCGAGCAGAGGAGTAACTTCCTCATTAAGTGCTTGACACTTCGGATGTGATTTATTAGTTTTTGATTGCTACGTGGAGAAACTATTAGTTAATAGTTTTTTACTATTTAGTTTATTTATTTACTCGTATTTTGGGAGGTATTATAATTTATGGTTCAATCAATTAAATGTATAGTATAATTGAAAGTGTCAAGTGTAAAAAAGCGACATTTGTGAATGAAAGTGAAATTATTTAGTTTACTATGTTAATAATAAGATACTAGTTTTTAATACTCAATGAAATAGTATTGAATTAATTGTTGTCAAATTTGTTGTATAGTCTAAA